CAAGAAAAATTCTTTTTTTTTTTTTTAAAGATACTTCCACATTTCTCTTCCAGAGCTTTGGGAACTTTGAATTAAAAGCAAATTATGGACAAAGATAAGCAGGCAGCACAACATTGATTTATTAAAAATGACTGTTTAAAACAGGGGTCCCCCACCCCAGGGCCTGGCTTAGAATCAGATTGCACAAGCAGCAGGTGAGATGTGCGCAGAGCTTCTTGCATGCAAGTGGCTTGCACTCACACGTATAATTCTACTTGCATGAGTGGTGGGCACTTGTGCTTGAGTGCAAAGCTCCACTTGCACAAATGGAGCTGTGTGTGTGCCTGTTACTCGCACGGAATCATTCCCCCCACCCCCCCATGCTGGGTTGAGACAGAAAGTTTTGGGATCACTGATGTAAAGTGACAGTATGGAGATATTTAAAAAAACAAAACCCACCACTAACCAACAAATCAGCTGTAGTATTAACTATAATGATGGGTTTTTTTTCCCCAAAGTTAATTTGGTCACTAGTTAGGTACCTAATTAAAAAAACAAATACATATATTGGAAGGAATTTTCTGCCACATTTGGAGCAAAGGAATCTTGGCCTACCATGCTGAATCCAGGTTGGCCAGAGAAAAATTGATCCTTAATTATTTACATCTCTTTCCACTGAATTCATGGAATCTCTTAAAATGAAGCACTATGTGATCACTGGAAATCCCCACCCCCATCCCTTTCAGACCATATTACAATTTAATACGATTCTTCCTATCTACACTCTACAATTTAATATGATTCTCCCCTATCTACATTCCCTGATGTGATGCAAGACTTTTGCTTGGGCTGAAGGTTGTTTTGAGATATGGGACTATTTGCATTGCTTCTCACTTCGGTGAATTGTCGGATGCAATTTTAAGCTGGGATATTTCCGTGCATAAAACATGCAGTCGTCCTCTGTTGGAATTCAACCTTTTAAGACTATCAGTGAAATTCATCGCAAACACTAAGCACTTTTACAAGATTTAGTTAATTTTGTATTTTGAGGCAAGCAGAAAGAACTGTGTCGAACTGGGTTTCAAGGGCCAGATCAGCACTGTAGTTCTCTGTGGGCTGGGGGGGGGGAGGGAGATGGGACAGATGCCTCCTGCACCACCCTGCCAACCAAAACGGGGCACCAGGGGTAGGTGGGCGGGAACGCACAGCCCCCAGCGCTCCATTTTTGGCCTGGACAACCTCCTGTAGCACTTTGACAGCCAAAACGGGGCACAGGGAAGCTGCACGTACCCAACCCCTGTTTTGGCTGCCAGAGGCACTGCTCCTTTGCTATTTCCAGGCCGGCCCCATGGGCCAGATTTAAGCAACCCGCAGGTCAGATCCAGCCCACGGATCTTGAGTTTGACACCCTGGATCTAGATGGTAATCATGGCTGTGTGATGTAAGCCGTTTTTTTAAAAAATGTGATTCCTGTTCAGCACAGGTTAAAAAAAAACAGGGATTCAATCACATGGCCATGGCCCTCATCTTGACTTTTTAAAATCCCATCTTGTAAACACCCCTGGATAGAAGATGTGAAAAGCAGGATCCCACATCCAACAATATCTTTTCTGCACGATCTTCTTACAGGTTGCGCGTTGACTTTAAACTCGTTCCTTGGGAGCACTAGAGTTTTCTTCCCCTGCATGAACTCTCTGATGCAGTTTAAGGTCTGAGCTGTTACTGAATTGTTTTCCACACTCGGAACATTTATATGGTTTATCTCCCGTGTGGATTTTTTGATGCGATTTGAGATTCATGCTGTACCTGAACGTCATTCCGCAGTCAGAACATTTATACGGTTTCTCCCCCGTGTGAATTCTTTGATGGGTCTTCAGATTCACGCTGTGAGTAAAATTCTTTCCACACTCTGAACACTTAAAGGGTTTCTCTCCCGTGTGGATTTTCTGGTGCGACTTCAGGTACATGCTGTGAGTGAAACACTTCCCACATTTGGAACATTTGTACGGTTCCTCCCCAGAGTGGATTTTTTGATGTGATTTGAGATTCATGCTGTAGCTGAAATTCATTCCGCATTCCAAACAATTATACGGTTTCTCTCCCGTGTGGATTCGCTGATGTGATTTCAGGTTCATGTTGTACCGGAAATTCTTCCCACACTCAGAACATTTGTATGGCTTCTCACCCGTGTGCATCTTTTGATGTGACTTCAGGTTTGTGAAGTTCTTTCCGCACTCTAAGCATTTATAGGTTTTATCTCCTGAATGTGCTCTCTGCGGTTTAGGAAGGCTTACCCGCTCACTTAAGCCACCTCCAAACTCAAGGGATTTCGGTGGTTTTTCTCTACTATGGCTCGTATTTTTCATTTCTTCGTTACAATCTTCTAATTTTGGAATTTGAGAGAAGTCAGCCTCTTCAAAAGGGACAGCTTTCTCTCCCCATTTCTGTTTTTCTTCAGACTTTGATTTGTCCTGTTTACTGCTCTTTCCATCTGAATGAATCAATAAGAAGAATGTAATCAGAGAAAACTTTACCCTCAATCCTGGAAGAGCTCTTAGATTCAAAGAAGAGATGGTGCCTGGACAATATCTTCAACCAAAATGATACTTAAACACATTACAACTAAGTCTTATGTTTGTGCAGACAATATGGTTTGTAAACTATGATTTATGCCTTCACAGTTTATAACTCTGGGTTATTCTTTAAACCATTCCAAAATAAATGCAAAGTGACTTGGCATAAACACTGAAACGATGCAACATACAAACCAAAAGTTAGTTTGTTTAGTTTGGGCATACTGGGCTTTGTAAATCCAGCTTATTATAATTTATTCAGCAAACGTGGCTAAGCAAACCATGGCTTAGTGCAATGTGTGAACCCATGACTCTGAATGCTTACCTGCTGGTCTTTCTTCTTCTTGCAAATCCTTGACAGGTGAATCCTCAGTAACTTCCTGCCATGATGTGAATTTAGTTTGGGGCACTGAAACAAAGTACCAAGCAAATAATAATAATAAAAAATTAATGCAGGAGCATTTTATGGTATTAAGCTATTATAGCTGTAAATTTGGACCATTGCTTAATTAAAGTTAAAACACGAATGGCAAGTATTTGTAGTTCTTACACACAGAAGAGCAACAATAGAATAGAATAAGGGACCTTCCAGAGTTGGAAGGTTAGCTAGACAGTTTGAAGATTCCTACCGTGTTTCCCTGAAAATAAGACAGGGTCTTATTTTCCTCTGACCGCCAAAATAAGCACTTGGCCTTATTTTTGGGGAGATCTTATTATTTTTGAGGTACAAGAGGCGGCGAGTGTGGTCACCTCATGGCTGCTGCTATGTTGCAACATTTTCGGGGAGGTCTTATTTTAGTGCATGAGTTTAAAAGCTCAATTGGGCTTATTATCCCGGGAAGTCTTATTTTCAGGGAAATAGGGTATGGAAGACACACAGCCAATCTTGGACAAGGAGCCTGGCAGTTAGCATGAATTAAGTTAGTGTTGGTGCTTATTTATTTCTATCCCACCTTTATTATTTTTGCAAATAATTTAGGGTGGCAAGCATATCCAACATATCTCCCTTCTCCTATTTGGTGTGGGGTTTGGTCTCTGTTTATATACAGTAGCTTACTTTGCCAGAGTTAATGGGGTAAGTAAACAGGGAGCAAGTTTTACATACATTAGCTCTGATGACGTTACTTAGTTGGGTGTTGTGACCCCCACCTTGTCCATTCAGAAACTAAAGCCAAACAGAACGTT